GAGGCATATGGCAGATGCTCAGGCAATATTTGTTCAGCTAAAGGCTCTAATTACTCCTCGAGATCCCTTCAGCCCAGTCACTAGGCAGGGCCGAGGGCCCGTGGGGCTGTCCAAGGTTAGGGCTGGGGCCCCAAGCCTCACCGAGGTCCAGGTGTACCCAGGCCACTCCCCCAGCAACACCCCCCACTGAGCTACAGGGCAGCGTGTGGCCTTGGCCCTCTGGACAGGCCTGGCACCCAGGCCCGCTCAGTCCCAGAACTGGTAGAGCGAGTTAGTGGGGGAAGGAGGATGGGGGAGTGGGAAACAGAGGCCAAAGAGGTGCCCAGCTGGCACCTGGCGCCCTCAGCCAGGACAGCCCTCGGACACTCACTGGGGTCCCCGGGGTACCACAGTGGCCAGGGTGGGGGTGGGAAAGGACATCCCAGAAATATGAAGAGCCCTCCCTCCCCAATCTGGGAGCACCTATGGGAAGCTCTCATCTCTACCTTCCCCACCTCCCAGGTAACCACTACCCCCCTTAAAGGGGCAGAAACTCATCTCAACACCAAGTAGACTTGGCCTCTGACCTAGTTCATCAAGCAAATGTCCCCAGGGTAGCCCAGCACCGAAACAGAGGAGAGTCCCAGCTGGGAGCTGGCCTTGAACTTCAAGAGTGGTGACTTTCACCCCCACCCCCCACCCCCAACTGATCCCACCGTGGCTTGGACACTTCAATTTGGCAACCATTGCCTGACCGTACCAGGCTAGCCTGGTGCTATAGGTATCGGCCAGGGTCACTGGGGCCCCTTCGGCTTCTAAGGGCAGGGACATGGCTTAGTTCCTGCTTCAGTTACCCCAGCTGGGCTCCACCCAACCCAAGAACGCGCTAAAATCCAAGCCAGTTTCTTTGGAAAAGAAGCAGCCGGGCAGGCGCCCGCCACCAGGGGCACAGAGACGGAGCTACCTGGTGGGAAACCAGCTGTTCTCACCCCAGCTCTGCCAGGACCTGCTCAGGCCAGAACTCCCCTCTTGAGGGCCCAGCTGCATCTTTGGAAACCTTTGGGGGGTGGGGGGAGAAGGACCAGCCTGCAAAGGGTGACCTGCCCTGGAGGACTGTGTCACCACGGCATGCACACGCAGTACATGTGCACACGTGTAAACATGGACCGACCAGATCCCATCTGCCCAACAGCAGAGAACTCAGAACATGTGGGATAGAGGAGAGGGTCCGGGTCCAGGGATGTCCCCCTCCGGGGCCCCACCCACCTGGGAAAGACGCAGGGAGCCCAGCCAAAGCTCCTGGCCCTCAGAACCAGGGCTGGGCCCAGCCCAGGGCAGGAAGGAAACAGGATGCAGCACAGGAAGGCTGAGCGGTGGGAAAGGCGCTGGGTCGGCGTGTCACTGCCCACAGCAAAGCTGTGTGCACAGCACAGCTTCTGAGGGCCCAGGACCAGACAGTACCCCGTGCACAACCGGCCTGAATCTCCATGGAGGGGCAAGGACTGGAATGACTGACTACCTGGGATCTGGTCCTCACTCCCCAGCTGCCCAAGCCAGGTCACTACACAGGACCTGAGGTGTCAGTCCCTGAGGGTCGCTCCCTCCAGGCGGCCCAGGCCCCTCCCACCTGCAGGGCCCCAGTGCTCCCCACGGGAGACCCAGGCTGGTCACTGGCTGCAGTCCTGTCCCAAGTCAACGCACTCTCCTCAGCTGGGAAATGGGACAGCAATGCCTCAGTCAGCTCCATCGCTGTATTGAGGGGGGTTGGGGGGGGGGGGCTGGAGCAGGTAGGAATGTAGTCCACCCAGATCCCTTGGGACCTGGCTGAGCTAGTCCTGCTGGCCCAGCACTGGACCCCAGCAGCTGAGCCAACAGCCCATAGTTCACTTCTCCAACAAGGTGTTTCCCTCGGCAGGTAGGTAAACACTGGAGCCTCCCTTCCTCTTCTCTCTGTGGCCCCACCTTGAGGGGCTGGCCCCCCTGCCACCTACAGCCCTAGGCGCCCCATCGCTAGAGAGCCAAGGGCCAGACGAACCAGGCGCCTGGGGGAAGCGGCAAGGAGAAAGGTCTGGTTTCTATCACACCCCGCTCAGCCGGCTGGACTCTCCAGAGGCGCCGGGCAGTGGCCAGCACCTGGCCTTTCTCTCAAGGGAGCAGGAGAGGGTGGGACCAGTGGTCTGGCCTCTGGAGCTGTGACCAGCTGGCTGTGGAAATGGCTCCCTCCATCCCACCCTAACTGCCAAGAGCAAGAGAGAGCAGAGCGCTGAGGAGCAGTGGGGTGGGTGGGGTGGGATTGGGGGTGAGAGGAAAGCCCCAGATAGCAGCAAGTCCTGACTCCCTTGCTAGTGGGGGATCTGGGAGTCAGGGCCGACATCTCTGTGGCGAGAAGGGCCTGGTTCAAGGGGTGAGGAGAGAAGGGGTGGGCAAGGAAGCCGCCTTGCTGGGCCAGGACCTGTTTGGGGGGGGGGGTGCACAGAGGGGGCGAGGAGGTGGCCTCTGTGCCACTTGCGGACTCAGGGGAGCATGGACTAGGCTGCAAGACACCCCCAGGCCCCACACCAGCAGGTCAAGGGCAATGTGCAGGTTTCCCAGCCCTGACCCAGGGAACAGAGGGTACCCCAAACACAGCCACCCCCACAGCTGGGCCTCAGAGGAGGAGCCCCCTTCGGGAGTGGTCCCGGCTGGGACACTGGACTCCAGGGGCCTGGGAACAGGTCCTCTTGCCAGGCTGCTGGGCCTCTCCTGCCGCGGGCATCGACCTGGGCCCAGCAAGGCTGCTGCCGCCGCGTACCAGCTGTTTCCCCGACCAGGGCGGACGCCGGCCCGGCTTTGTTTGCATTGAGTCAGCCGGCTCTGTGTGTCCGGGACCCGCGGGCACCGAGGGGCAGGGAGGGGAGCAGGGAGGTGGATGGGTGGGAGGAGGCGGGGAGAGGCTGAAGATGTAAGACTGGAGGGACGGAGTGGATGGGGGATGGGCAGGGGGTGGACAGCGGCGATGCCGGCTCGGGAAGTAGGCACACGTCAGCCTAAGGTGGCAGCAGCGGTTGCGGGGAGAGATGTTCCCGGGAGAGAAGGCTGGGGGTGGGGGACTAGGGCGAGGGGATGGAGCATCGGGTACAGGCCAAGGGATTTGGCTCTGGCCTCAGTATCACCCGCCGGCCCAGCGGGGTCCCCCATCTCAGGACAAGCCAAGTTCGCGCAGCCCCCCGGCCCTGCCCAGCCCCCAGCCCGGCAGGTGGGTGGGGAGGCCGGGGTCCCGGGCGCACCTGCGTCTTGGTGGTGAGCTGGATCACCGCCTTTCGGAAATTCAGCTTGGAGTCGGCCGACCCCATATCGTTGGAGCCCGCTCCGGCCCGGCCCCGACCCCGACTCCCGCCCCGGCCCCGGCTCGGGATCCAGCTCCAGCTCCAGCTCCGCGGCCCCCGCTGCTCTCGCAGGAGCAGAGCTCAGCACGGCACCCCGCCCGCCCGCCCGCCCGGCGTCGGCCCCGCCTCCTCGTGACTCCGCCCCCGTTGGGCCCCGCCCCTTAGTGGCTCCGCCCCCCAGCACCTGCCGCCTCGGAGGCACTGTCCACTCCGGGGTCTGCCTCTCCGACTCAGCTGGACACGATGCCTCCGCGCCCTTCCCTCTGCGTCCGAGCCTTGTCCCCGCTCCATCGCCCGTTTCCGCCCCAGCCCCAGGGCCCGCGATCCTCCCACTCCCCGCCCTCAACTTTGGCCCCCACGCCATCACTGGGCCCACACTTTCTCAGCCAGCTCTCTCCCTTGAGTTTCTTCCTTGTCAATCCTGTCCCCCCCATTCTTCTTATTATTATTATTACTATTATTTAGTATCTGCTCTCGTGGTTCCCCTTTTTCTGGGCTGTGAAACCCACGTGTCCAGACACCCCGGGCTCAGCCATCCATTCTGCGCAAGGAAGGCGGACTCAGTGGCCGCTCCAGGAAAGCAGCGCGGGGGTCTGATGAGAGCTGGACTCCTTTCTGGCCACCTGCCTTCCCTGAAAATCCTTTTAAGTCCGTCCTTTTCAACAAATGTGTTGAGGGACTTGGTATTTAGCAACACTGTCAAGAATGGGAGCACAGGGGCTTAAATCACAGGGCCTATTCTTTTTTTTTTTTTTTAAATATATTTTTTAATTGATTTTTTACAGAGAGGAAGGGAGAGAGATAGAGAGTTAGAAACATCGATGAGAGAGAAACATCGACCAGCCGCCTCCTGCACATCTCCCACTGGGGATGTGCCCGCAACCCAGGTACATGCCCTTGACCGGAATCGAACCCGGGACCCCTCAGTCCGCAGGCCGACGCTCTATCCACTGAGCCAAACCGGTTTCGGCTTTTTTTTAATATATATATTTTCACAGAGAAGAGGGAGAGGGATAGAGAGTTAGAAACATCGATGAGAGAGAAACATCGATCAGCTGCCTCCTGCACACCCCCAACTGGGGATGTGCCTGCAACCAAGGTACATGCCTTGGCCGGAATCGAATCTGGGACCTTTCAGTCCGCAGGCCGACGCTCTATCCACTGAGCCAAACTGGTTAGGGCCACAGGGCCTATTCTTAATGAGCAATTATCTAGGGAGAGAATCAAGAAAAGAATCAGCCGTGATTCAACCAGTGAGCCTCTGGTAGAGGCAAAGTAGTAGTAATAGAAGTAATTAATAATAATAATGTGACAACAATATCGCTAACAACAGAATCCTTCCATTTGAGGTAAGTATGATCCACATTACCCATTTGGGGAAACTGAGGCTCAAAACATTTAAGTTACTTGCCCAAAATCACACAACTAGTAAGGAGCAAAGAAAAAAAAAAAAAAGGAAATTCAACTCACCCCAAAAGAGGTTGCACTTTTCTGTGACATCATCTTGCATGCTATGTCTGGAAGCTTCCGAAAATCCCAGATGCTTCAAAAGGAGGTGAAATTCAGCTTAAATAGGAATTCCACAGCTGAAAAATGAGGGACGCACCATTGAGGCAGCAAAGGGGTGGAAAAGGCAGAGTAGGACCGGTGTGGAGGCGGGAAGGAGGGGACAGGGTGTCAGCATGTCACTGGGTGAGCAGACTGGACAGAGTAGGTCTGTCCTTGCTCCAGAGATGTGTCTTCCCTGCCCTGGATGAAATCCTGGGCAGGCTCCATGGCTTTTCTGATCGCTCTGAGATAACGAATGAATGGCACCTTTATTTGGCATTAAAAAAACAAATTGAGTCCACTCTACAAAGCACCCAACTCTAGTCCAGCCCAGAGCGACATTAAAAACTCTGAATCTGCCCATCCACAGCGGCTCAGTAGTTGAGCATCGACCTATGAACCAGGAGGTCACGGTTCAAATCCTGGTCAGGGCACATGCCCAGGGTTTCAGGCTTGATTTCCAGCAGGGGGTGTGCAGGAGGCAGCCAATTAATGATTCTCTCCCATCATTGATATTTCTATCTCTCCCTCTCCCTTCCTCTCTGAAATCAATTTAAAAATAAAAATAAAACTCTACCCTGGCTGGTTTGGCTCAGTGGATAGAGTGCCGGCCTGGGGACTGAAGGGTCCCGGATTCAATTCCGGTCAGGGGTATATGCCTGGGTTGTGGGCTCGGGAGGCAGCCGATCAATGATTCTCATCATTGATGTTTCAATCTTTCTCTCCCTATTCCTTCCTTTCTGAAATCGAAAAAAAAATTTTTTAAATAATAAAACTCTGAATCTTAGTCATTAAAGAGATGCACATTGAAACCACAATATGATAAGCATTATATACCTACTGGAGGTGAGGTCCCCCGGCCTGGCCTGCGAGGATCGGGCAGAAACGGGCTCTCCGACATCCCCCAAGAGGTCCTGGATTGTGAGAGGGCGGTTCTCGGGTGATGCACCCCAGAATCGGGCTCCCTCCTCTCTGGTTCCCCCACCTTCACTCTTCTCTCCCTCCATTTCCTGCTGGTGCTCCCCACCAGTGGACCCACAGACAACAAGAGAGCAAATGACCCACAGGTGCAGCCCATAAAAGCTTCAGCCCCCGGGCATGGAGCAGATGGAGACAATGGAAAGAGGCTGGAAAGGGCAAATGGAGCATGTCCCACATCCAGGCAGGTGGAGAGAGCGGGAGCTGAAGGAAGGCCCAGAGCATAGAGAGCCTGGGACAACCAGCTGGGGCGAATGGGGAGCGGCAAGAGATACAGCTTGAGACAGGCCAGGGCCAGAGCATCCTGTTAGGGAGCTTTTACCTCATTCTCTGAGCAACAGGAGCCTTCGAAGCAGGGAATAATGTCATTATGTCTTAGCAAAGTCATTCTGGCTGCTGCAGGAGAGACAGTGGCTGAACAGCGAGTCCAGTTAGGAGGTGAGAGAGGATGAGGGTTGACCGCAGGCAGTCACCGGTGATTTGGTGACTAAGGATGCAGGTGATGATGGGGATGTGGGATCTTGATTGTCAGTTGGATGCATATTCTAGGTACTATTGCTACTTCCCCACCGAACTTGGCGTAAAACCATAAACATGGTTATAAATCAGTGATGGCGAACCTTTTGCGCTCGGCGTGTCAGCATTTTGAAAAACCCTAACTTAACTCTGGTGCCGTGTCACATATAGAAATTTTTTTGATCTTTGCAACCATAGTAAAACAAAGACTTATATTTTTGATATTTATTTTATATATTTAAATGCCATTTAACAAAGAAAAATCAACCAAAAAAATGAGTTCGCGTGTCACCTCTGACACGCGTGTCATAGGTTCGCCATCACTGTTATAAATGAAGCAGTCAGTAATTCAGCTGAGGGGGCTTGTGCCTTCTCCACAGCCGCTAGGGTCTCAGCAGGGGAGACTAGAATGGCCGGGAAGGGGTTAACTTGGCACCGCTGGGTGCTGGAACCACCTGGAGGCTTCTTCACTCACACCAGGCATGTCGGGAGGCCGTAAAGATGGGGCTCAGCAGGGGCTGAATCTGGAATCATCAGCATGGGACCCACTGTGTGGCCTGGGCCTCGCACAGCAAGGCCCCGGTTTCTGAGAGTGAGCGTCCCAAAGGGTGCAAAACAGAAAAGGTGTCTGAGCCCCAGCCAGTGTGGCTCAGTTGGTTGAGTGTAGGCCTGTGCACTGAGAGGTCGCCGGTTCGATTCCTGGTCAGGGCACATACCCAGGTTTCAGCAACCCATCACCAATGTTTCTCCTTCTTTCTCTCCTCCCTTCCTCCCTCTCTAAAATCAATAAACACATCCTCAGGAAACATGCCCTCGTATTCTCGGGTGAGGATTTTTAAAATGTAAAGAAAACAAGCTGCCACATTGTGGGTGATTCTCTTCTCCACACTCCGTCCCCCCATACCCCCTCCTTCTCTCTCCCGACCTTTGTCTCGAAGTCTCATCTCAGTAAAGGGCACTTCCCCCCAAATCAGTGTCACGCTTGACGCCTCTCTTCTTGCCACCCCAAGTCCAATCCATCTCTGCGTCTTGATGTTATTCCCCAAACATGTACCATCTCCACTGCCCCCCTCGCCACGGCCCCATTGTCCCCCATCCACAGCGGCCTCCACCCCTGCCCCCTCTAATCTCTTCTCTGCAGAACAGCGGGCAGCTGTAAAGTGCAGCTCGCAACACTCCCCCACTGAAAGCACCTCGGAGTCCTTTGCTGGGAACAACTTCTTCAGGCTGCACGGTGACCTCCCAGCACATGTGCTCCCCTCCCCTGGAGTCCCGGCTCCACACACTGATCTTCCCACATGTCCTCAAACCCCCTGAGCTTGCTGACCCAGATCTCTGCACAGGTTGTTCCTTCTGCCTGGGACAGCCCTCCTCCTCCTCTTCGTGTGCCTGTCCCCTTCTCATCCTTGGGGTCTTATCTTTTTCTTTTTTTTTTAAATACTTTTTTATTGATTTCAGAGAGAGGGAGAGAGAGATAGAAACATCAATGATGAAAGAGAACCATTCCCTCTCACCCCCTATATAGGATAGAGGCCTGGTGCATGGGTAGGGGCTGGCTGGTTTGCCCTGAAGGGTGTCCTGGATCAGGGTGGGGGTCCCCACTGGGGTGCCTGGCCAGTCTGGGTGAGGGGCTGAGGACTGTTTTCCGGTTGGCGAGTGACTGAAGCTCCCAACTGCGCCTTGTTTTCTTTCTTTTTTTTTTTTTTTATTCTGGGCCAGCTTTAGCTCTGAGGCCTCGCTGCTGAAAACATCGATACAATGTTGCGGTCTGGCTGGCTTTCAGTCCGGCTGGTTTCTGGGGTTTTGTTTAGCTTCTTATTTGCAACATAGTACATAGTTGCTTAGAGTTGCAGCTGAGAGGCCGGCAAGTTAGGCGGGGAACGTTGGAGTCCGCAGTCACTGGAGTAAGCAAGCCTCCCTGCTCGCTTCAGTGCATGGCTGCCGGCCGCCATCTTGGCTGACAGTTAATTTGCATAAGGATATGCTGATTAGCCAATGGGAAGGGTAGCGGTCGTACGCTAATTACCATGTTTCTCTTTTATTAGTGTAGATGTCTGTCTCTCCTAGTGAAATGCAAGCTTCGTGGGAGCAGAGACTGGGTCTGTCTTGCTCCCTGCAACCCCAGCACCTAGCACTGGCCTAGACACAGAAATTACCTCTTGGGCAGGTGAGTGAAGATAACTCCTGGGCGATCGTAGAGGATGGAGCCACTTTGGCTGTCCAGGTCAGCAAGTAGGAACGATACATTCACTGGCTGTTCCTCAGATTCATTGTTTAGTACTTTGAGGAGCCTTGCAAGTAGGGCAGGTGGATGTGAGCTGGGACAGTGAAGGATGAAGGGCCAAGGGACCCAGCTGCACCGCTGGTACTAGAGCATTCATTTGTTCACTCGCTGGGCCTGCTCCATACCTGCCCTTAAGGAGCTCCCAGTCTGATAGGTGGACCCCGGGCAATGGGAGCCCAGGCATCTGGCAGTGCCTGGAGCTTCCCTACAGGTCTCTTAGATCCATGGCTCTGTCCTTGACTGAGAGCCTCGCCGCCACCTCAGCCCCCACTCCCTACCAGGAAGGGAAGGTCCCTGGACAGGACTCCCAGGAGCCCTGCCAGAAGAGGGGTAGTGGTCTGTGAGGAGCAATCCTCCAGGTAAAAGTAGTTACCAATAACAATGACCCCTAAAGGCAAGCACTGCCTGCTGCTCGCATGGCTCAGGTCCTGCTCTCAGCACTTGGCCTGTGTTAACTCGGGGAATCCTCCCAACAACCCCATGTCTTGGTACTGAAAGAGGAGGGTGAGCCCTAGCCGGTTTGGCTCAGTGGATAGAGCATCGGCCTGCGGACTGAAGAATCCCAGGTTCAATTCCAGTCAAGTGCATGTGCCTGGGTTGCAGGCTCCTCCCCAGCCCCCTGAAGATTAAAAAAAAAAAAAAGTAGGGTAAGGCCGTAGAGGACACTCAGCATATGCATCCTACATGACAGGCCTGGGAGGTTTAACTGCAGGGATTCAAGGTAGACATATGGAAGCACTTCCCGACCACAGGGACTGTGAGAACCTTGTCGGGGACAGACTCAGATGGCTGATGGGGGGAGGGAGGGGCACCGGATGACCTCACTCATTCAAATATATCCAGCGCCTTACCCAGCCAGGCACTGACCTCAGACTGGTGGGAGGTTCGGGACAGATGGGGCAAGAGTATTCAGTGCAGCCGGTGCCCAGCGCGGGAATGTCTGAGGACAGCTAGGCCTGCAGGGGTGGGGGCACCCGAGGAAGGTGTCCCGGCGCCGCGATCCCTTGACCTCAATCCAAGATGAGCGGGAGGGGAGCGGAGAGGGGTGGGGGGTGCGGGGGCCCAGAGGCTCGGGCTGGGCACCCTAGCCCTCCCGAGCGCGACTGGGAGTGACCGAGACCCTCAACGTCAGCACTGCCTGCGCCGTCATTTCCGGGTGGCTGGGCTGGGGGTAGGCAATGGGCCCGCGGGCGGTGGCGTCAGAGTCCCTAGCCCACCCCCCGGGAGGGCGTTCGCCTCTTTGCATCCGGCTCCGAGCTCCCACGGGTCCCTATCTGGGCTCTAGGACCCGGAGCTCCTCGGATGGGGCCTGGGGAAGTGCTCCCGGTCCCCCGGCGTGTGAAATCGGCCGCAGGGGAATCACAGTGCCCAAGGCTTGGGGGACGTTGAGTCGGTCAACGTGGCGTCTGGGCGCTCCTGACAAGGAACACGGTGCAATAGGTCTGTGTGACCCACAGATGAGGCACCGGCTGGGGGGCGGGGGGCGGGGGAGGCTCCCAAGATCAGCTGATTTATAAGTCCCAGCCGCCCGTGGCTCTGTGCTCTGCTGAGAGGAAAAGGCCTGAAACGGATCCCAGGGCTTGTTGGCTGGGAGCTCAGGAAGAAAAAGGAATTTCCTGCTTCAAAGGCAGATCGCATCTTCCTCCTCATGCAATAGTTTAGTTTAGAAAATATGACTACATCGGCCCGGAAGGCACAAGAGCGATCCCACTGGCCAAGGAGCCTGGGTTCCGATGAACGGAACCGGGCAAAGGGCCCAGCACGGGCCTGGTGTGCAGCAGGAACCCCATCCCTCCGCATCCACAGCTCTGAGTCACCTGGGCCTCCATCCTCCATCCTCTGTCCCCTTGGGCAGCTCCACAAACCTGGCAGAGTTGGTTGCCCAGCTTCAGCCCACCCCCACCCACCCCAGCCTCGTGGGACCTAGGGGCGTCCAGCCTGAATGACCCTGCCTAGTGCTCAGGCAGCAAGGAGAATCCAGCCTTGGTGACATGCTCGCCCCTACCAGGCACTGCTCCTGGGGCTGGGGCACAGGGAGGGTGGCTGGTATTTCAACAGTAGCGCCAGCATATAGTGCAGTGATGGCGAACCTATGACACGCGTGTCAGAGGTGACACGTGAACTCATTTTTTTGGTTAACTTTTCTTTGTTAAATGGCATTTAAATATATAAAATAAATATCAAAAATATAAATCTTTTACTATGGTTGCAAATATCAAAAAAATTCTATATGTGACACGGCACCAGAGTTAAGTTAGGGTTTCTCAAAATGCTGACACGCCGAGCTCAAAAGGTTCGCCATCACTGATATAGTGGGTCCTAATAAAAATGAGTTAGATGGCCCTTGCTGGTTTTTCTCAGTGGTTAGAGCATCGGCGCAGACTGAAGGGTCGAAGGTTTAATTCTGGTCAGGGGCAGGTGCATCGGTTGCAGGCTCCATCCCCGTCCCAACCAATCGATGTGTCTCTCTCACATTGATGTTTCTCTCTCTCTGTCTTTCCCTTTCCCTTCCACTCTCTCTAAAAATCAATGGAAAAATATCCTCAGGTGGGGATTAACAAAAAATAAAATAAAAATGAGTTACATGAATGCTGGAGTCTGAAAACTCCTTTAAGGAAAGAATGCTTGGGTAGGTGAAACTTTTTTATCTGAATGGGTATAATTGGATATAGGATATAGGATCTGGATCCCAAGGAGAGGGCAATGGAACCTTAAAGAGGGAGGCCCAGAATGCAAGTAACACACCCTCAAACCTCGCCTCTTCTGGCCTGAGGTTTCTAGCCACAGGCATTGAAACATTCCGCGTCTTACAGGTACTATAATTGTCCATGAACATTCACTCATGGAAGGTATCAATAAGCCAGCCTGTCCTAGGCACTGAGCAGCCAGCTGTGAACAAAAGATAAGTTCCTTGCTGTCAGGAGATCCAGAGCCAGAGAAACACAACAGTAAATAAAATAAAATAATTTCAGACAGTGAGACCTAAACTAACTGAAGGAGCCCAGCCTGGAGGGAAGGGGCGGGTTCATAGATTAGTGGCAGCCAGACCAGGGCACCAGGGAGACCCCGCCCCAGGCTCCGCCTCCATCTTTGCATACGCCTTCTGATTGGCCGGCGGTGGCAGGCCCCACCCCGTGGAGCGGGCGGTTGGGGAAGCTCTAGTCTAGTCGGTTGGGGAAACGCCGGGCAAACCCGGCCGAGATGCAGCCGCTGCTCCGGGTGGCGCTGGGCGGGCCGGGGGCATCGCGGGCC